AATCAGACAAAGTGGCAGCCTACACAATGTCTGCCCACTCACCAACCCACATCCGACAGAGGACTAATATCCAAAATATACAAAGATCTCAAGAAACAAGATATCAAAAAAACAAGTAATTCAGTTGAAAAATGGGGAATAGTTCTAAAATACAGAATTCTCGATAGAGGAATCTCAAGTGTGAGAAACACTTAAATGTTCAACATCTTTAGCTACTAGGGAAATTCAAATGAAAACTACTTTAACATTTCATCTTATAATTTTCATAAAGGCTAATACCAATAAAGTAGGTGGCAACTCATGCTGTCTAGGATGTGGAGCAAGAGAAATACTCCTCCATTGCTGGTGAGGGTGCAAACTTTTACAGCTAGCATGGAAATCAATATGGTGGATCCTCAGAAAATTGGGAATTGATCTATCTTAAGACCCAGTTATAACTCTCTTGGGCATATAGCCAAAGGATGCTACACCATAAAACAAGGACACTTGCTTAAATATGTTCATAGCAGCTTTAAAAAAAATAATTAACTATCAAAAAGTAGAGAACCCCAGATAGGACTAATTAGTTCTGTTTCTACAAGTACTCTACAGGCGGGGGTAAAAGGATGCAAGTGCAGGAGTTTGAGCAGAGCCTAGGGAACATGGTGAAAACTTTTTTTTTTTTTTTGGTAAGGAGGAAATGGCAAACAAACAAAAAACCCAAAACAGCATAAAAAATGGCATGTGAAAAAAAAGGTACAAAATAAAATCAATTCAATAATTAAACTTGGCAGTAGAAATTAAAAGTAACAATACAAATATATATATATATATATATATATATATATATGTGTGTGTGCGTGTGTGTGTGTGTGTGTTTGTGCCAAGAGTAAATTAATATTTACTAGTTTGTTATGCTATAACAACTATTAAATTTCTCATATTTTTTCAAAATGTAACTAATTTATAAGAAGTTCATTATGGAGAATGTCATCTTTTTAACTTTTCTTTCTTTTTTTTTTTTTTTTTTTTTTTTTTTTTTTTTGGTTTTTCGAGACAGGGTTTCTCTGTGTAGCTTTGGAGCCTATCCTGGCACTTGCTCTGGAGACCAGGCTGGCCTCAAACTCACAGAGATCCGCCTGCCTCTGCCTCCTGAGTACTGGGATTAAAGGCATGTGCCACCAACGTCCAGCCTGTTTAACTTTTAATAGTATGTAAATACTATTTTTCCTGCTGTAATACTAAACTGATTTGATTGAACCATAATTGCTTGTTACTGAAGGTAGAAATTGTGTTTTGTGAGTATTTCTTCTCTGCTGCTTTAGATGAACATGTTCTCCATCAAGTCGTCACTCACATCGGGTCTCCTACCAATTATATGTCATTTGTTACAGACGAGTTGAATGTCACTTTTTTTTTTTAATGCTGTAAGACTTTAAACTGTTACTTTTATAAGTAATCTTTACTTTTATATAAACTGATGTTTTATATGTACATAACTGAGTATGAGTATCTGAGTATTACTAAATGGATAATGTATTAATTACTTTTCTCCTGGCTGTGATCATAAAGGGCTTTAGGGAAGAAAGCTTTAGTTAGACTCACAGTGCATGGAAGACAGTTCATCACAGCAGGGAAGGTTAGGTGTAGAACCATGTCCTGTGTACCATGTCAGGAGGTTACCTACTCACAACTGTGGCGACCAGTAAGAAAATCAGAGAGATCAATGTGGCCTCATATGGCGTTGTCCCTTTCCCCTTATTATTCAGTCTGGACCCCCGTCTCATGGAATGACACACCTTGTGTTGAGCATGTGTCTTCCTTCTCACTTGGTCAATTGGGCACCCAGAGGTCAGACTCTTAGATGGTTAAAAATGCAGTGAAGATTGATCTTCCAGATACATATTTTAATAAAGTTTGTGTTAGGAACTAGTCCTATTTTCTGAAATATCAACCTTTAATATAACTCCATATAAAACTTTATTTTGTTATAGATCTATGGTCAATTAAATTGATTTCATTTGATGTTGACTTTAATATTTTGAACTGATTTTAAAATGCTGCAAAGTTTTAATGTTAGGTGTTTTAACATTTTTTCCTTATTGTGCCTTATTGAATATTTTATTAATGGGCAGTTTATTGAGTTGGATTTCTGTGATTTTCTTTGATTGCAGGAAACGTTGCATTTCATGAACACATTTAAATATTTTAATATTTTCCCTTTCATTCAACTCATCCGCTTTTATATTCATGGTCAAGATTCTCTTAGCATTTAGGAATTATCTCTAGGAGATGCGTTTGATAGTTGCAGTACTGATGTTGGTATTTTATCATTTGCACTAAAGTTATTACTTTCCTAAAGAGCCCAATATAATTCTTACTTTCATTGGTAATAAATTTAAGAAGTAAAATTTGATATTGCTGTGAATCAATCAAGCCAAATTTACTTTACAGCTTTCAAACCCAATCTCAAAACAGTGTGAGGCACTTTCTTAGATTCTTCATAGTTGTTTCCCCCACCCCATCTTAATTTTGATTGGGTAGAGTGATTTATTTCAGTACTGCTATTGGAGTAAGAGTATTAGTGTTGGTGGTTACATTCTTTTTTATTATTATTAATTTTTTATTAGTTCAAATTAGGAACAAGCTTGCTTTACATGTCAATGCCCCCTACCCCATCCACCCTCTACTCACAAGGCAGGGTAGAGCTCATGACAGGGGTTCCCCCAAAGTCCACCACATCATCCTGGGCAGGGCCTAGGCCCTCCCCCATATGTCCAGGCCGAGTGTGCATCTCTTCACTATACTGGCTTATAGTATGTAGTTCAACATAGTTCAACAATAGCTATCTTACAACAGTAGAATAGCAGAGAATCTGGTAGGTGTTCATTTCTCTATGATAGCTGTTTTGGCAGTGTCAGTCAGGTGCTGGAGTCATAGAGATTTCCTGGAGAGCTGGTGGTCTTTAGTCTACATTGTAATCTTGAAGAAGGTGTATTTAATATTAACCACAGCAACAGGATAGACAAATATGATAGTAATAGTGAAGGAAAGCAGACATAAAGCAGTTTTCCTTCTTCTACCTCCTTTTATGTGGGATGCCACAGAGTATGGTCCCTGTTTAAGATGGGCCTTCTTGCTTCATCTGATGGAGAAAATCCCTTACAGGGGTTTCTAGCAGCTTGGGTTTTAGATGAATCCACATGGAGTCAAGCTGACAACTAAAACTGTCATAGGCAGTATTTCTCTCTTAGTGTATAAATGATTTTATTATGTGGTTTGATATAGTTAAGTTCCAGAGCAGACACTTGTCCTGTAACCCAAATATAAGCAAATTTAAGTATTTGAATTATAATATGAAAATAAGTAATTATTTCTGGTCCTATCCTTTATATTGATATAAGGTTTAATTTTCAAAATCTTAACTGTTTTTGTCAAACTATGTTTCAGATATTTGCATGCAAATTTAGTTTTGTTGTTTATAAAGATACATTAAAGATTTCAAGAGTACCAACTAGTCATTTTAGTTAATCTCATTTAAGTAATTTCTCTTAAAATGATAGGCCACTGTTATATTGCTTCATATATGATTTTAACTCTGAATTTACATGTTTTTAGTACTCTTTAGAGAATATATTGTCAGTGTCCTCCAGTGAAATTATAGGGAACATGCATTAGCTACCACATAAAAGTATATAGATATTATTAGACTAGTAACTGCATAGTTTAATGTGTTACTGGTTTTGAAATGACTGTTACCAGTCATTTTTTCACATACATATATGAAACTATTTCTGAAATAAGATGAGTGTGTTTAACCTCTTTAAGGAAAGCAGGCTAAATGATCTATTTTTAGATTACTGGATATGACACCAAAGCAATCGATATCTTAATGTTATTTAAAAAACTCATTTTGTTTCACAAAAATCGATATAGGTTGCCTCTGAAATTAGTATGTGAGATATTTTACAGATGTCTTTGGGAGGAGAAACACTTTCAGAATGACCATTCAAACTGCCTGTTAAAAGAGTTGCTCCTATTCCAGGCCTACCATCCTTGTTTATTGCCTGCCAAATAACTCATGTATTTTATGTTGCTGCTCTAACAAACTACCATTTGTTTTGTGGCTAGAAGCCATACAGATTTATTGTAATGTAGTTCTGTGGATCAGAAGTCCTGTAGAAGTCAGGATAATCAGTTTTAGGCTAGAAAGAAATGGTGTCCTTGTTTTTGTGTTATTGGCACCATTTAGCTCCTTGCATAGATCACACTGAACTCTTATGTTTATTTTGGCTGCCAACTACAGGTCCCCAGAGGACAGAGCTCTTGGCCTGTGCTCTTCTGAACCTTTAAACCCAGCAAACCTTAACTTTCAAACCCTGTCATCTCTGCATACTTCTCTAACTTCCACTTTTAAGAATATAAATGATTTGATTTGACCTACTTTGTTATTCCCAGTAAATATTTTCCAAAGGTCCTTAACAATAATATGTGCAGGTCTATCACCATGTAACCTACCACATACAAATGTTGAGGAGTTGGGATGTAGATGTCTTTGAGGAGACCATGTTTCTTGACTCTCACAAACTGAGAGTTGTCAACTGAGCTTGTCTTGGCTGGGTTGGTTTCTCTTTTCTGCTAGTAATACTTTCCACACACTTTTCTTTCTTGCTCAAATGGATGTGGAGATCCCAGCCCCTTGAGAAATTACATTACATATAACATCTATGAAGAAATTGTAGGAGGAACAGTTTCTAAAAACACCTAAAAGCTTCAGAATATTCATTTCCAACCGAGAAAGTCTTCTGTGAATGTAAAACTCATTCTGATCCTTAGTTGTCATCTGCACAACAGAAGGTAACACATTACACTGCTTAGGAAGAGTCTGCATGATACTAGAACATTGGTAGGGGAAATTCAAGAGATAATTACTTGGAATAACTTTAAAGAATTTATCAAAACAAATCTATCTTGATAATGGATGATATTGGATCTTAATATTTTATTTCTTTTCTCCTTAGATCATCACAAAATATGTTTACGAGCTCCTGGAAAAGGACTGCCACTTGCAAAAAATCTCTATTCCAGTAAGTCCAATTTTCAATAATGTTTATTTCAAATAAAATGCTTTTCTCCATGTAAAATGATTTTCAAATCAGGGGAAATTTTTTTCTTGTGGATTAAAGGTATTGCTGTGTAGATGCTGACACTTCACTGCTTGTAGGTAACTTTACTCTTCAGCACTAGTTCTTATAAAGTAATGCTCTCAGTGGAAATGATGAACAAGGATTTCCGGTCTGTTTTTAACATGATGGCAGAGAGGGTTATCTTTACCTTATCTCAATTCACCTGAATGTTTCTATTTGCTTCGTAAAGATTGGTGTGCTTCACATTGTAATAGTCATTCATTAACTCTTTAAGTATTGTTTGATTCTTTGAAACTGCCTTTCATTTAGTTTCTTAACTAACTTTATATTTTAATGTGTGTCTTGCCTGCATATATGTTTATGCACCACCTGCATTCCTGGTGCCCGAACAGGCTAGAAGAGGGCATCAGATCCCCTAGACCTGGAGCTAAACAAGCTGTGACTGTGTGTAGGCACTGGGGATTGAACATGGCCACCTGGAACAACAGCTAGTACTGCTCTTACCCCTGAGCCATCTCTTCACCCCTTATTTCTACATAAAGTGCTTTGTTTTCTCTACATTCCCAAAGTCATTCCTGATTTTTGTTTGCTTATTTTGTTTTTGTTTTGCATTTTTGGAGTCAGGGTTTCTCTGTTAGCTTTGTAGAACAGGCTGGTCTCAGACTCACAGAGATCCACCTGCCACTTCTTTCTGAGTGCTGGGATTAAAGGTGTGCATTCTCACCACCTGGATATCAGGTTTATTTTTAATAGCCTTTCCCTCTGAGCTGAGTTGGCTCCTCTGTGTATCTGTCTAGGAACATGAGTTCGGGCAAAAGCATATTGGCTGTCTGTGTAGATATTCACCTTTTCCTTTTCAGCCCATCTTAAAGCCTGTTTCAGAGCAATTGTTTCTGCTGTCTGAACATTTGTGCCCCTGGGCAAGTCTTGTGCCCAAATGACCTCCTCCTGACCTGTGACTATTGCCACCCCTGCATACCTGGTTCTTTCTCTTTTTGTTGTTGTTTTTATTTTTTGATACAGTTTCCTTGTATAACAGCTCTGGCTGTCCTGGAACTAGCTCTGTAGACCAGGATGGCCTTGAACTCACAGAAATCCACCTGCCTCTGCCTCCCAAGTGCTGGGATTAAAGGCATGCACCACCACTGCCTGGCTCCTGCTTTTGTTGTTGTTATTGTTTGTTTGTTTCTTTGTTTGTTTGTTTCCTCTTTATCAGAAGACTGGGACATTTTGTACCCTTTTCTTTGGGAATTTGAAAGTTTTAAATTGGGTGGTGGTAGCTCATGCCATTGATCTCAGCACTCAGGAGGCAGAGTTAGATAGATATTTGTGAGTTCAAGACTAGCCTTGTCTAGAGAGAGAGTTCCAGGACAGCCAGGCCTACACAAAGAAACACTGTCTTGAAAAAAAATGGGATTTGTTTTTAGACTCAAATTCTAAACAGAACTTTTATTTTTTTCTGAGCTTATAATCTAATTAGAACATTGCTCTCCTCCATTTCTTCCCTCTAAACACTCCAATATACACAGACCCTTCTTTCTTTTAAGTTTATGGCTCTCTTTTTTCTAATTGTTATTGCATGTGTATATGTAATTTTAATTTACATCATGAATGCTAAGCTTTTGAAATGAAGAAGTAGTAATGTTGTATGTAAAATGTTGGTTGGAATAGATTAGATAATTTTTGCTGTTCCTGAAAACTCTTATTTTATGATTTAAAAGTTCAGATGACAATGAAATTGACTTAATATATAAAACTTTGCATATAGATAACTTCTGTGAGCTTTTAAAATATCTTGGGTCATGCTATTGAGGAGTGTGAATATATCTTAATTCTTTAAAAATCTCACCTTTGATTGCATAGTTCCACTAAAAACTATTTTTCATTGAATCTTCTAAAGCTAATCTCTGTTGATAGATAATAATGCTTTCCATTCTCAATTCCCTCAGCTTAGTAAGTGCTTATTGAAGTCTTACGTTGTAGACCCTGTCAGTGCTTGTAATGTAAGAATAAAAAAAAACATTGCATGCCATAGATAAGCCATCTCTTGTTCTAGTTTGAAACAGAGCTTCTTTTAGGAAATAACAGAAGCCTAAATTTTAGCATCTTTTTGACACTTAGTATGGCTGTCCTAGGGGAAGGTAGAATTCTTGGCTTCAGGTGTCCTTTCTTTTTCTGTAAAAACTGTATATTGAAGTTGGATATTGAGGGACATGCCTTTAATCCTAGAACTTATGGGTAGATGCCCACACCTCAGCATTCTGGAGCAGAAGTCCTCTCTGAGGACTCAGATAGGTTCTGCTGGGCAACTGTCCTGCATACCGGCTCTGGCTCTGGGAACCTGGCCCTTTTTGTGCAGACGTATAGACACAGGCAGATCTGTATGATTTCAAGGACAGCCTCGAAGTCTTATTGAGTTTCAGGTCATCTGAAGCTACATGGTGAACCTCAAAGCAAGCAAGCAAACAACCTATATCAATTTGTTCTTCTTAATCATTTAGGAAAGACAGCATTTTTTTTTAAGTTTAAAAAGCAAGAGAAAATTTATTAAGCAAAACTAAGCAGTACTAATTTCATGACTTATATAACATGACTGTCTCTCTAAACTTTTAATTTGTATACTAAATTTAAATTGAAGAATTCAAATATATAAAAATTTCTCTATATAATTTCTGATTTTCTCTATAGAAAATTAATTAAATTCCATCATAAAGCACTCTCAATATAGCCAATTGTGATTTGTGGTCTAAATCTAGAGACCAAAGTATGTCTAAAGGTTTCCAGAGAGCCAGAAACATTATAGTCAAAGGACAAAATACAAATGTATTAAACTAACACTCGTTAAATGTCCTTCAGAAATTGAATCAAGTGATAAAATTTCTACTGAAAGAATATTACCAAACCTCTTCCCTGTTAATAAACTAAGTTTTTGTTTCCTAATTTAAGTAGAGGGACCCCTCCCCCACAGTTAATGTGGCAGCATTTTGGGAAACACAAGATTGGCAGTCAATGTCATGATCATGCTTGTGTTTTGCACATGCATAGGAGGAAACACAATATTGACAGTCAAACATGGGGGTGGGCCTAGGCCCTATCCCAAAGGATATGACAGACTCTGAAGACCCCACTATGGAAGGCCCCACCCTCCCTGGGGAGCAGAAAGGGCATGGGATAGGTAGGGTTTTATTGGGGGGGGTGGCAGGGGAGGTGGGGAGGGAGAGGGAACTGGGATTGACATGTAAAACAATCTTGTTTCTAATTCAAATAAAAAAATGGAAAAAAAAGATTGACAGTGTCACATTCTTGTAGTCATTTCTAGGCTATTGAAGTAGTGAGGGAAAACAATTTTATTCATATAGACATTTTGGTATGTAAATTTAGCACTAACTTATACAGTGCAAACTGTATTTATCGTGTTCAGAGTCAGTTTTCTATTTTCCTGTAGTCAGGGCTGTCCAATGATTTGCTCACATATCGCTTTTCCCATTTCATCACTGACATTCTTCTATGCAGTGTTTGCCTTCATTGTTGTCCTTTCTCGTATACTTTGACTTTCACACATTTTCAGCTTTTCATTTGCTTAAGTAAAGTTTATTTGTGGCTGCTATCATCTTTTTCATAAAAGTTCTTGAATTGCTTTATAGTATTTTTTTCTTCAAAAATAATTATTCTTCTAGTTTTAAAGAGATTATGCTGAAATTCAAAGTAGTTTTCCATTGCTTAAAATGTTGATTGAAAGCTGGGAGTGGTGATACATGTTTGCTGTCTTTGCACATGGAGTTGGGGTCGGGGGTTAACAAAGGGCTCAGGGTTGTTTTCTGTTCTGTGGGAAGCTTGAGGCCAGTGTAGCTACACAAGACTGTATCTCAGACAAAGAGAACAGCTGTACTATTTGGGGACCATCAGCTTATAACTATGCATCAGATCCTGGTGGGCTCACCTGTGGGTGCACTACTGAAGGCAATGGCTGCCTCTCTCCATAATCTACCAGTGTTAATAGTTGTATAGGTACATGATTAGTTCAGATGCCATGACTTGTGTAAGATCAGTTGTGGCATTGTGATTGTCATGGCTCTGTCATTGTCGGAAGATAGCATTTCACAGCCCTTCTCTTTGTCTGCTGGCTCTTATATTCCTTCCATTTCACCTCTGCAATGTCCCCTGTCAATGTTCTTCTTAGGGCTGAGCAATCAGCTGCCACTTATTTTCAAGACTAGAGCATTCACTGCCATTCATTGCTTCTTTGATCAAGGCTGAGGATGGTATTTGTTTGAAGGTATAAGTATTTAGAAGGCAGTATACGGCTATGCCAGTAAGTGCCTCCCATGCCCTAACGTTTAAGACCCTCTCAGCATCTGGCTCTATAAATTGCCGGGTTTGAATTTACTCCTGTGGAGGAGTCCTCAGATCCAATCAGAGACTGTTGCACCAGTGGGCACATCTTGCCTAGGTTAGCACTCCAGTACATTGGGCTCTTTTATATCTGGTTAAGATATTTAATGCCAGGAGCTTGCACGGTGGTACCTTTCAGGATTCTGAGACCTAGCCAGCAGGGAGGAAGCTCCCAGTTCATTTCTTCCTTGGTTATGCTGTATTTTGTAATGAATGCTGTGTCATGTCTTCAACAATGGGACATTATTAATTAGTTCTTATGGATAATTGAGCGGAATAAGTGGCAGAAGCCTGTCTTGTTCTTGGGGTCTCAAAGGGATTCCCTGACCAGTAATTCATAAGGAAGTATTTCATGTCTGTCACTGGCAGTTTTGTGTATTAACCCCAGGCTTTTATGGACAACATGCAGAGCATTTCTCCCTAGTTCTTTAAAAAAAAATATTATAAGCTTTTATACACCAATTAAAACTTAGTTTCAAATCCCTTTCACTTTGTTGAACTTTGTCGCCCTACCCCATCATCTCCCCATCTTCTAGCCCATCTCTCATAAACATTTCCACCCGTGGGATTCTCCCTCTCTGGCTTTTTATTATTTATGTTCTGCTACCTCTCCTTCCTTGAGGAATGCCCCTTCTTAGTGGTCTCTTTCTAGTTTTCTTACTTCTACAGGTATTCCATGTTAAACACATAAATCTAAAGATACTGTACTAGGGTCTCCATATGAGTGACAACATGTGGCATTTGTCCTTCTGTGCCTAGGTTATCTTACTTAGCATATATTTTTCCAGTTTTATCCATTTACCTACAAATTTCATTTTTCTTTGGAGCTGAAGAAAATTCCATTGTGTATACATACCATATTTTAATTATTCATCTAACAAGGATAGACACGTAGACCAATTCCATTTCCTAGCTATTGTGAGTAGGACAGCACTAAGCATGGTGGTCAGGTACCTCTGCAGTGGGGTGTAGAATCCTGTTGACTGTATGTCAAGGACTGTTACAGTTTGGTCATATGCTAGTTCTATTTCTAGTCTTTTTTTCTTTTTTCCCCCTGAACTTCCAGTGTGGCTGTACAAATTTGAATTCCAACTGGCAGTGAATAAGTGTTTTTGACTACATCCTTTGTGGCATTTGTTAAAATTTGTGTTCTTAATAATAGCCATTCTGACTGGCATGAGATAGAATTGACAGTAGTTTTAATTTGCATGTCCCTGATGGCTATCGATGTTTAACACATTTAAAAATATTAGCCATTTTAATGTCTTCTTTGAGAACTCATTATTCAGGTCCCATTTTAATATTTGATTTTTTATGTTTAGATTTTCTTTAGTTTTTTGTGTATTCTAGATATTAGTGCTCTGAATTATTTAAATTCTTTGTATCTAAAGGCCATTACTACCAATAGTAACAGTCCATATTTCAAAAGCTTATTCTTTATTTACTGAGTACCTATAAGATGCTAGGCCCTGGCTGGGCGTTGGTGGTGCACACCTTTAATCCCAGCACTCAGGAGGCAGAGGCAGGTGGATCTCTGTGAGTTCGAGACCAGCCTGGTCTACAAGAGCTAGTTCCCGGACAGCCTCAGAGAAACCCTGTCTCAAAAAAAAAAAAAAAAAAAAAAAATGCTAGGTCCTGTTCTAGACAGAGAATGTAGCTGAATATAAATTACAAATGTTACTTCTTCTTAGATTACGTTGTAATGTAGAGAGCAGAGGATGAGTGAGTATACACACACAGACACACACATGTGCATGAATGCAGATGCATCTATCTATCTATCTATCTATCTATCTATCTATCTATCTACCTATCTACCTATGGATGAATGCATTGTGTTTGATTGCCACATGTGCTATGAAGAAGAATAAGACAGTGAAAGGAACTAGAGAATTCATGGTGAAATGTTTGAGATGATGATTATGGACATGGAAGGCTTTACTGAACAGTAGTAACTATTCTTAAGCTCAACCCATTCTGTTCCTACTAATCCAGTTGCTGTTTGTGTTCTGTTTACACAAATAGCAAAATCAGATGATAAAACTAATGTTGTTTTAAAAGTAGAGAAAGTTTATTTTTTCTATTTCTGGTGCATTCTGAATGACTGGGAAAATTTAGATTTTTTTTTAAATTTTAGATTTAATTCCAGAGAAGTTTTGTGGAGTTGTATGTGTGTGGTGTCCTAACTTTGATAATTGCATGAACAAATGAGCTGGTGCAATGTGTGGTTGTGGGTGGAGGACAAAGTACTAGTTATCAGTTCTGGTTTTAATCTGTTTGTATATGGCTTCCATTCTGAGTACTGGCTGTTATTGATGTAGAATACCACAGAGCTTCCTGTACATATGACATGAAAGGTTCAGAAATTGGCTTTTCTTAGTATCTCTTGTATCTTTGAAATCTAGTTGAGCACCTGTGTATTAGTAAGCCGTAAATAACTGATACATAGATAAGCTTTCAGAATGTACAGGATACTTTTTGAGTACCCAAGTTTGCAATCTGAATGTTTACAGTGTTTTGGCTAAAGTATTTAAGTAGCTATATATTCCAGTTTGGGTTTCCCATTTTCTATCATAGGTGCAATATGCTTCAGTTATAGAATTAGGGACAACATGCAGTATAATCTTGTAACCTAAGTCTATCTAAATGCAATTTCTTCATTTATTGATGATTATTATAGTAGTGACTGCCACAGTGGATTGCAAATGTGGGTGAAAAAAACAGTTGGATAATATCTGAATCACAGGAAGCTTTTTAAAATTAGCTATTTCAATTTAAGATGGTAATATAATACTAAATAAATAATAAAATGTAAAAATTCATATTTTAATTATTCTTTTAATGTATTTTTATACTTAAATTACTGTCTTGTATTGCTTGTCCACTGAATATGTGATTGCTAGATCTTTCTTTAATTTAAAGGTTTTTCTTAATAATTCTGTAATAACCATTCTGTAATTTGTAGTAGCCATTAATTGTTTTCTCATTGTGTGTATGCTTGATCAAGAAACATTTTATTTATTATTTAATTTTTTTTGATTACAGGTAGATGCCACTGAAAGTGAACCAAAGAGTTTTATCTTTATGAGTGAGGATGCTTTGACAAATCCACAGAAACTGATGGTTTTAATTCATGGTAGTGGTGTTGTCAGGGCAGGTCAGTGGGCTAGAAGGCTTATTATTAATGAAGATCTGGACAGTGGCACACAGATCCCTTTTATTAAGAGAGCTGTGGATGTAAGTGAAACTTCCTTTGTTCTGGGGGCATTTATAGTTCTGTTTTATTGCATACTGTAATTTTATCATGTCTTTTCAAGAAGTATATTTAAAGCGTAATCTTATGATTAAGTCATTATTTGCCTTATTTGTATGATGATTATTGTTTTGCAGCAATGAGGGAAAATATTGGAATATTAAGAGCATAAAGGTTTAAATGTCTTTGAAATGAGTACTGTCTCAGTTTTCTTTGTTGAGTTTAACTGTGAGTTTAACATATAGTCATCAATAATGAAAATATATCTGACAAAAAAAAGAAAACATGATTGCACTTGGAAAGCTTTGTTTTCCTCTTTTAATGAGGGGGAAATGAAAGGAAATTTGTTGATTATGATTAATCTGTTTGGTGAGGAAAAGTAGAATAAGTAAATGTTTTGGCATTTAAAAAGTGTTTTGATGCCCACAAATAAAATGTTTTAAAGTTAAAACAACATATAAAATGTCAAAATGTAATATTTTCAAAATAATTTTTCTATCTAGTGTTGTTCTAATGTTCAACTGTTGTTTTAATATCTCTTTCTAAGTTTTATAGTGAACTGCTGATTATCTCAAAGTATGAATTTGTTTCACATTGAATGAGAAATATTCACCAGAAAAAGTGACATCTTGTATAAAGCATTTAAGGTAGAAAAGGTATATAGAAATAGCATATGCATCCATGTACTTATTTTATTTCTAAAAATGGCAGTACATTTTATAATTAAAATTGGAAATACATCTTAGATACACAACCTCAAAATCAAACAATAAATATTTGAATGTGTTCAGTTTTCTGTTGTTCCCCAATATCATAGTAACAGTTAAGCCAACTCCCAGAGAATACTTTTGTTCTAGATTGCACGACTCCTCAAAATGCTGCAAAATTGACTTTCTTTAGTTGAATTGCTCATCCACTTGTTACACATGTGCCAAGCAAAGAAATATGTAATTTTTATTTGGTTCCTAACTTTAGTTGCAATTTTCGAAAAATTGAAGTAACTGTTTATTCAGTTAAGAAATCAGGGCAATTAAATATTCAGTTAATAAATTGAGGTTTTGGCTAAAGCAACACAGGAATTAGTGTTTTTTAAACTGTCTCTTATATTGTTAAAGGTGGTGAACTCTGTTGAATGCTTTCATTTGTGGTTATAACTTTGTCTGTATCTCTTAGAGAGAACATTATGTATAAGATGTTTGTACAATCCAACAAGTGCTTTAAAATAGTAGTAAAGAAATCAGGAGCTTTCAGCAGTGAGTGTTTATCACTAGCTCTAGGTGGCCTGCTTTGCTTGTTGTAGAACACTTGTTGATCGGTTTTCAGGTAAAAACAATTGTTGGAAACTGTGTCTAAAGTATTGAGCTAGTTGGTGGTGCACACCTTTAATTCCAGCTCTTGGGCAGCAGAGGCGGGTAGATCTCTGTGAGTTAAAGGCCAGCCTGGTCTACAGAGAGAGTTCCAGGACATCACAGACTACACAGAGAAACCATGTCATAGGGGTGGGCATGCAGGGGAGTCTTTGTTTGAGTAGACCATTGATTTGTGCAGTCTTTTTGAATGACATTAGGCTAGTGAGTCATTTTTTCCCCTATAAGTGGGAATAGTGTTTTAAGTTTAGCAATATTCTGCTTTTATTCTCTACTTTTCTCAACCATAGTAAGTCAAGGTATTTTGAAAACAACTGATTTCTAATTATATGGCACGTCTAAGTTCTAGTTTTAGCTGGTTACATTCTCTTTATTTTTAAATATTAAATTTATTATGTGAATTTCATCATGAACTTCTAAAAATATATATCATTTTCAAGTCCAGGTAAAGTGACTTTTACTGCTATTTGGCTTCACTTGCTATAACTGCTCTGGGTTTAGGGAGGAATGTATGGGACTAGAAACGGAGGGCAGAGGAAGACATATGTGAAGGAAGGAACAGCCCCATTCTTAGCTTTTAAACATGGAAGTTCTGCTTTTATTTTCATTGTGTTCTGAAATTTCACCTGAGGAAAGGTTTCTATAGTGTAGAAAAGGTTAACTGTAATTATTTGGGTTTTCATGTCTTGTCAGTTTTCATATTGTTGTGGAAGTGAATTTCAATATTTTACAGAGAAAATATTAACATTTCTATGCAATGTTTTTTCTCACTAGATTATTTATATGTGACTGGAATTTCTAAATTAGGTCCATATTAATAATCCTCTGTAGCAGGGAAGCCATATCTATGTGGAGCATTTTATGAGAAATATTATGTTTTTAATATATGGCTCCACTGTGGCTACAGGGGCAGTGTGAGTTTGGTAACCTCCGATTTCTCCAGAATTTCCTGGACTCTATATCTCATGGCCAGAAAATGATAGATGTTCCATTCCTTGCATTTAGAACATGACTATAAATTATATATTAGGATTTCATTAGGGAGGAATGGTGCCTATCAAATAACTTTCTGTAAGTGTTTATGAGGTTTCCAGGGTCGATGATTTTAGTGTTAATGTTAATAGTCTTCATTACATAATACATAACTCAGCTAATAAAGCTTATCATATATCCATACATCAATGATTGAATGTCTGTATAATTTGAGAATTACTAAGATTGTTCTTTGACCCGTCCCTCCTTTTAGGCATTTCTGTTTGTATGTGTAAAGGGGACAAGTAAAGTAGATGTCACTTAAATTATTTAAATACTAGTAGATTTAAAACAAATCATGCAGCCTAAAGAGACACCTCACTGACTTCGTTCTTGTCCCAGCTTTGGCTGATTGAGTTGTACTGTTGAAGAGAGCTGGGTATGGAGCTCTCCAGAGGCTGAGATGGGGAAATATGAGTTCAAGACTAGCCTGGACTGCTAAGTAAGGCATAGTTTCATAAATTAACCAAAACAAAACAAATAATATTACTGCTGTCTGGGAGCAGGGGGCAGCCTTCAGCAGCACAGGGCTTTGAAAGGAATCCACAGAGTTAGCATAAGCTAGACTTTTCTACCTGAGGGGGATTTAGGGAAATGACACTCACACACTCTCTTGATGGCTTCCTTCTGTATTCTTCTCTGGTGTTCTTTCTATGTTCTTTCTTTCTTCTTTATACGTTTTTCTACAGCTTATATATCTCAACAAAGTTATCTGGCAATATAGGAATTACAGTGTGGTTACATTCTGTTTTTCAAGTGAATGATTATAATGAATACAAACAGTAAAAAGAAAAGCAGCATGTTTTCCATATTTCTTACATGATTAAACATTTTATATACTATAGATGAAAAACAAATTATCCCAAGAACTCACATATATTCATACCCAAGCAACTTGCTACAGATTAACTGTGTGGGCAAGCAAACTATTCTTGTCAAGTCTTTTATTGACTGCATTTTACAGTTACAAAGAAAGGATCAATTACTTCATTACTTATCTTGAAAAGTAATCTTATAAGAAATCTTTAAGGAATCACACACCTAAACTTTTGCATTTATAAAAGAATCAGTCAGCTCTACTTTAAATCTTTCAGGTGAATGCCCACTTGTCAGTAGTTGAGATTGAGGACAGAAATTGGTGTTAGGAATTAGTCATCACCTTTGGTCATTAACCAGTCCTAGCAAGAAAGGTATATCAGCCAGTGACAATTTGCCGCTTTGTTCTTGTACTCTGACCTTAATGAGTTCCTCATTCAACTGTGTGCCTTTCTAAAACCTTAGATTGTCTTCCTGGGATTTTTTTTTCATCTAAAGTGTATTTAATAAAAACATCTTAGTCTAACTTTGTTATCTTCAAAGCTTCGTTTCAGCTGTGATGCACCACGAAACTCGTGAGCACATCTCCCAAAATTAAGGTTAAAAGAATTTAAACTAGCTGGACTACTGGGACTCAGTTGTGTTTTCTTACTTATAATTAACTTGAGCTACAATCCATGCAGCTTCTTAGGTGAAAATCACAGACCCTGGCTGTGGAACATTATCTTTGTATTTATTTCTATTCATCAAAACTCTGTATCAGTTATTATTATTATTATTATTATTATTATTATTATTATTATCATCATCAATTTAGACAGTACAGCTTAGGGAGGAGTCATCTTCTTGGCTATGCATAGGTCAAAATGTCCAGTAGAAGAGATATAACACACTATACTACAGGCAGTGGAGATCTGCCCATGACCACTCATACCATACTAGATACCAGAGGAATATTGCAGTAACAAGCATGGAAAGGCACTGCAGAAGCAAAAGACATTTTGGGTCTGTAGTCCAATTGCCTTGCCTAAATGAGATTCACCCATCAGAGAGTTGCCTCTTGGTGGACTGACATCTGGGCCTCAATTGCCAACTGCTGCTCCTCTGACATGACCACAGGTATAATATGTTTGGGAAACATTTTTAGGACAGTGGTTCTCAACCTTCCGAATGCAGTGACCCTTTAATACAGTTCCTCATGTTGTAGTGACCTCAACCATAAAATTATTTTCATTGCTACTTCATAACTTTGTTGCTGTTATTAATCATAATACAAATATCTGTGTTTTCTACTGGTCTCAGGTGACCCCTGTGAAAGGGTTATCTGACCACCCATGGGGGTCTTGACCCGCAGGTTGACAACCACTGCTTTAGGAGCTATTTATTGATCTGTAACGTAAAAATAGTTCATGTTTTAGAAGCCTTTTAAAGCTTAAGTTGCTTTGTCTGAGCCCTCTGTGTTTTTATCAGAAGGTCTGACCTGAGAATTTAGATGATCAGGTTGTGTGTTGACTGGACACAGAGACCAGATGAAATGCCTCCTCTATAAATACAGCAAGATCTAGGCATGCTCAAGTCACTTATAAAAAGACCTTGGCCTTTGTATCCAACCAGCACACATCCTTCTGTGTGCTTTAAATCACTTCTGGAATATATATTATACCTAATACAAGTGTATGTGTTTAAACATGCCCGAAGTTCAATGCTACATTTCTTCCTCACTAATTCTCCTCAGGTTTTTTGTTCTGGCTAGTCAGCAAGCTATTGGG